TACAGCAGGACTGCCCTGGACTTCAGGGTAGGAAGTACCCATGGGACTACACTGGACCACTTAGAGATTCTCCATCTGAGAATGCTGCTTTTCCTGAATCCTTTCCAAGGCAGCCAACTCCTGCCTTGCTCTGCTGACTGCGGCTCTAGGAGAGCAGCAAGAGAGAAGAGCTTTGTCTTCTGTCAGAAATGGGATACAGTACACTGAAATTCTAGGTTACCTACAGGGAAGGAGCCACAGAGAGCAAGAGAGGTCAGCTATTATGTAGCATTTATCCATTCCAACGTCACATATAATAGCTATCCCATTAATACTCTAAAAAATTAAGGTATGAACATGTAATGAGAAGTTAGCAATATATTAGGACCAATTGCATAGGGCAATAAAAGGCAGGGGAACCCTTTAGTTTCCTATTAACATGAAAAACCTCTCTGTTGGATGTCATTCTTTCCTATTTTACCCTGGAGGTGTATAGGACAGAACAGTTTTGATACTAATGGTGCCCACCATTAGTATCAAAGAGCATGCATACATATCTTACACAGATCTCCCTGGGATAGCTCTGGGAAGCAAGAAAATACCACTTCTGTGCAAGCACTATTTCTTCCTCTGCCTTAGGTATCTCTTTTCTTCTTTCTTTTGGGGCAGTCAGGGTACTGCCCCAAACCATCAGCTCCAGGCCAGTTCTCCACCCTTCCTTTTGAATTGTGCAGAGGATTTGGCAGCTGGATTCATTACCCTTAACATTTATCAGGCCTCAGGAAGGCTAGAAAAGTGCCAAGGCTCTGTGCAACGGAGTTCTGAATTACATTCTGTATTGTGACTAGGAAGAAATGTAAAATAATATAATTTTATACGGTAATGTGCATGGCCCACAAATTATAGGAGGAATGAAGAACAATTCATCTCTGAGATTCCAATTATAGGTGTGGGGAGAAAACACTATATTTGTGAGAATTTGAAATACAGAGCAGTTGGCATAGTTTTATTTTAAAATGATAAATATTTTCAGATTGAAGTGCAATTAGTAGTGAAAATGTCATGTAGTTTTACTATGTATGTTTCTTAATATGGCTGGCATAACTCATTTAGGAGATGCCTGCAGTGCAGATTCCTGTACTACATATATCATAACCAAAAATACAGTACTTACACATATATATAAAATGTACACAGAGACAACATTGCCAAACAGCCTTTTGGGACAGTCTAAAAGAATATCATTAATTTTTACTGTATACTTACACTTCTGGCTCAGTTCCAGCACTGGCTTTCTGCAAAAATCATTTCAAGTATGGAATTATGCTATTTGCTTGCAGCAACATCACAGGAACAGTAGTGAGCCATATGTTGCTACTTAGCAACTTAGACTAAGTCCCAAAGCATGTACTGATTTGAAAATTGAACAGAAATGATAATTGTTGAGGGATGCTGTGAGGCAACTTGTCTTGGATTACCAAACTATGCAGATGTTTGATGTTATATAGCAAGTGGAACAAAACTATATTTTTCCTGTCCAATGGCTGAGCTTTTATTTATGTTAGCCTAAAGGGGACAAATTGATTAAAACCCTGAAAATAAGACAAGGTGATGTTTTTCTGGATATGAACACTTTGCAGTAAACAGAAAGAACTGAAGTGCAAGGTTTTGCTTTTTCAGGGCAATTAAAACATTTCTGATGTCTGAATTTTATTTTCTTCTGCAACACAGTTTATTTTGTAGCCCCCCAATTTCTTGAAATGCCAGGTTCTAGGACAAGTTAGAGGGAACAGGCAAAACAAACAAAACTAACTTCTCAGTTTTAGACTCAAAGCAAGGATGTGAGCATTTCAGTGTGCATCAGGGCCCCAAAAATACCTGCCTCTGTAACCATATAATCCCGAAGACAGCCTAGTGGAAACCCCTAGGTCTTTGGTGTTGTATAACGTGACTCAGTCTGCCAACCCACCTCCCAAATATGCCATGTCAGACTCTCAAATTAGAAAATGATGCTGATGTCTGACTCAGCATGATCAGAGCTTGAATTAAAGTTTCTGATAGGACCATGCATTGCCTAACATGTGGGATTCATATTTTAGTTAACAGATGTGTATCCAACAAGGAAAGTGGAGAAATTAATTCACGCCTCATTCTGATAGGATTCAAAGTCTCATCTTGGATCTCACAGGGGAACAATCACGCTCCTGGGGATGGGAGGGAGCCTGCACTCCTCTTGCTGAAGTCATGAAACCACAAGGTTCATGAGGACAGATGCAAAAGTGGACACAGGAGAAAAATCTATGGATTAAATGACTAGGCTTTCACCTGGGAGAGAACATTTTTCTCATCTCTTTTTATGGGATTATTTGTTTTACATCCAGTAACAGTGAAGTGAAAATGAACAAACAGTCCTGAAAACATGGACCAGAAAATAGTCACATCCTTTCCTCTTCCTTTCCCTCTCTAGTACACCACACAATCTGACATGCTTTGTTTTCCAAGCAGTGAATATTGTACTCCATCCAGTTTTAACAAGCAGATTGGATGTTGAAATGGTAGCCAGTTCATCAGTTTGGGGTGACCACCTAATGCTTATGCCTGAGATACAGCGCCTCATTACAGTTGGTGAAGACCTCACAAATATTGCCAATGGAGAGCTGCTTTGAGGAATGACTAGCACTTATCTACACCAGGAATAGGTTCAGGAAAGTTTCTCTTGCCATCCCAGTTCTTACCTAAACAAAAGAGAGGCAGAATTTCCAACACACCCCTAACCTCTTGATCCTAGTGTAGGCTTTGCCTCCTTTTAAAAATATTATTATTATTACAGGCTTTCATCTATATTCACTTCCAAACCACTGCAACAGCATAAGCGCCAGGAGGGCATCAAAGTAAGGGAAAGGAGGTTGTGACATCCCAAGGTTGACAGCTTCTCTCAAACAGGCACAGGAGGCTGTTTGACCAGTGTGCATTTGGTAGTAACTTAAAAATACCATGCCAAGCTGTTGAGCTACCTCTTGCCACATGGATCCCTTAGCAAAAGGGCAGAGTTTTGACACCTGCCTCTGGGTTCTGAGCTCCACTCAAGAGCCAGACACCACCCAAGAGCTCAGCTTTGCCATGGCAAGGTTTTGTCTGTAAGCCCCTTTTTGTTCCAGTCCTTAGTAAGCATTCAGGGTTTTCTGTCATCTTTGAATCTGGAAATGTCATAGTTGATAGATTTTTTCCTTGAAGAAAAGTCATTTGCACTTAAAATATCTAGGCCTAGATCCTTTAAAGGTACTTTAAGCACCTTCCTTCCTCTGAAACCAGCATTAGATGCATAAATATCTCTGAAGATCTGGGCCTTGTTAGCACATGTAGAAACTGCATAAAAGATTAAAACTTATACTCTTAATTTTTCAATATGCCATTTAAATTATTTAAACTACATGCATATACAGTACAAAAATATCAACAGAAGAAAAATAATTCTGATGTATAATGTGCATTTGCAATTCTTTATTCAAAACTATTTAAGACAGACATAATGATTCTCTGAAAGGTAGCAGCTGCCTTATAACAGCAATCATTCACAGAGTTTGTATTTCTACTGTTTCAAACAAATTCAATTAGCCCTTGCACTTCAAAACCCTTAAGGCATAAATGAGATGATACTAGGCTGCTTTAATCTAATAGTAATACTAAAACTTGTCAGTACAGTTTTTGGATTAATGGTTAGAGAAAAATTAATAATATAATTTTTCATTTTTTAATCAAACTGTTCTATTCTAAACTACCTCTGGATCTTGGAGGGTTCTTAGCCGAATAAGTTCAATCATGCACAAATCATAGATGCAAAGTACAGTTGGTCTCTAAAGGTATTTCAGAATAACTTCAAAAGAAGGCTAGGAAGCAACATGGTGGAACATCTTAAAGACAGTCTTTTTGACTTGAACAATGCAGCTCATCTCACACAACCTCCGGCTTCCCTGACCCCAAATGAACCCATGTACTACACAACATGATTAATTAGTTAGATTCCTAAATGACATCCTACTCATCTACACACATTTACTATAAATGCAAACTTATTTCCCACCTAATGAGAGCTCTTCATATAATCCTACTGGCTCTGTCAGAAAGAGGTGTATCAGGCTAGCTACTGCTGTGACTGAGATGTTGCAATACCTAGACCACAAACCTGATTGTTCAGGGCAATTTCTGACACAATCTAACTGACCTGCATCACTATCATCATCACACACACACCAATGTGGAACTAAACTGACTGAAACACGTGAAGGAAATGAAAATTTCTCCCCTACATAAAGCTATCACTACAGGTAGCTAAAAATATTTCAAAACTACACTTGCATTTTAAGAAGTAATTAAAATCTTTTGTTCTTATAATCTATACTATCTTAGGGTCAAGCAGAAAGGTAAAAGATTTTAAAATATACACCTAATATCAGAATTTAGCTTGTAGGGCTCCCCAAAAGGGAAAGGACTCAAAAATACCTGTAAAGAAGCCACATCACATGGTTGCCAGCTATAGAAGACAAAGTCATTGCCTTAACCCCATGAGTAACGGCATAACATTAGCAACGCTCCTCAGCCATGAGATTAGTGTTAGAAATGCAGTGCTTCATCTACAACTGGCCTACGAGTGATAATTAAAGCTATTTGTGACATGTGTAGCTTATAATGATTAACTTGTCTGCAGTGAGATAAACAAATAACCTGCACCTGTAAAGACTTTATTTCCTGAAGGTAAAACAACTGTTTAGGAAAGATCATGCTGGCAAAACAGCTGCTTGCATTCTGGAGAGGAAACAAGGTAGTATCTTTCAACAAACGCCAACTCTGGTGTTTTATCAGCTCTATCTCATTAACTGGAAACAAGGCTTAAATGCTTTGTTTATAAATTATGATTATTCTTGATTGCAGCAGTTACTGATAGTGCCACTCATTTGCAATGCAACTCTTTGAATTTGTTTAATTACAATTTGAAACAAGGCAGAGAAGATTAATTAACCCACCTGGCTGGCTGGCAGATAGTCCTGGCTCGGCTCTGTCATACTCATATACATGTTCTCACCGTCAAACTGCAAAGGAAATAATAGTAAACATTCAGCAAACTTGAATATTTTTCAGCACTGACTGAAAGAAAACCACAGTAGCCATAAAGTAATATTACAGCCTGGTTTTAGAGACTTGTAATTGCATGTGTGCATCTTGACTTTGATGTTCCTGTTGTCATCCTTATTGACCCTGGATGTCAGTGATTTGGAGTAATTAGCGCTCTAGTAATTACAGCTAGCAAGCAAGAAATGAATGGTTTCCTTTCATCTGCAATCTGTTTTAAAACAAAATGGCTCATTTTGTGCACCATGTATACATATTGCTGTTGGTTGTAATGAAGTACTAAGTGAATTGCACAGTTACTGAGAGAAGGAAGATGAGAATAGAAACTGCTCTAAAATGCATCTTAATGGATTCCAACTTTAGCTTCTGAGCAGAACAAGACTTGAAATTTCAAAACAAATTAAACCCCCTCCTATTGAAATGTTCCTGTATCAGAAAGTAGGAAATACATTTCCAGACAGCTTTCAGACATCTGAATGTATGAAACAGTATACCTCCTGATCATATGGTGTAAGAGGATAGTTTGCTTGATGTGTGAATAAAGTAAACACTCATAATCAGAACTGCAAAAATACCCTTCTGTAAAAGATAAATACTGTTCCTGGAAATGAAACACAAAGCTTTTTTTCTTTTTCTTTTTCTCCTTTCAGCTGCAGTTAAGAAGTAACAGAAATGTGATAGAAAGGAGTTTATTAAAATCTGAAGGTCTAGATGGAGAAAAACTGTCAGAACTGAAGTCTCATCTTGTACCAACACAAAGAAGTATAAATCCACTGTTTTCTTACATAACCTGGAAAATGTCCCCACTGAACTCATCACACCTCCTCAAGTGGCTGTGCCATCAGCACAACTGTATTCCCAGTGTCCACGCAGGAGGTAGGAAAAATCTTTTCAAACTCTTCAAGTAGAAATAACCCATCCCCAGTCATCAACCACAAACTTCCAGCTGTTACGAGGTCTGTTTGAAATAACTTTCACCTGACCCCTTCTGTGACTGCTTAGAGTGACATATTTTGGAAAGGAGCCACTATTTTTGATAGCGCAGTGGCATTTTTAGAAAGTCCCCACTACTGAGCTTGCTCTTCTCCTACAGAAGGGGGCAGTGAAACATCCCATGGACATTTCTTCATCAGTGCTGAGCTTCTTGGGATACTCTACCTGCAAGATACAGTATATTCAACTAGACCAAGGTGGCAAAGTCAAACTGTGGCTTTGGTAGATAGCACTACCAAATTTTGCTGAAGCAGCTGAAAAGGTTGCGGCTTCCAGCTGTTCATCCTATTTCTCTGCCAGAGGCTACAAGGCTTGTAGCAGCAGCAGTAGAAACAAGTAAGTGCCAGCTTCTGGCACAGCCGTTGATAGTCTGCCCTTCCTGGCCAGAGCTGTTTGATAGAAACAGCCTATCTGTCAGAAGTCCTAGTTTCATGGGTGGGAAAGGATTATGCCACGGGCACAGATCTGCCATAGGGAGTAGAGTATTTCCAAAGTTTGATGGAATAAAGATAGTGGGATTACATCTTTAGAATAGGGATTGATGCTTGTTTCATTATTGTGTCTTGTTTATACTTGCCATTTCTTTCAGCTTTTGCATTCGAGAATTTTCCTAGCATTTAAAGTAAAGATTTGGAGAAATTTTTTTAGCGTCTGGATTGTTTGCACACTGGAAAAAAAGGACAATGCACTGTTTCTTCTACTTAGAGGGACAAGTGAGTTTCTGAACAGAGATTTCACAGACTGCAGTTGGAAACCAAACTCCCCACTGCAAGGCCTACAGGAGCTCAACTTATTCAGCTTGTCAGACGAAAGGCTGAAAGGTGCCTTGATCACTGCGATCGGTACTTACACCGTGGAAAGATGTCTGATAGCAAGATGTCAGCCTTCCTGACAGTGGTATAATGAGATCTAGTGCTGAGAAATGGGAGTTATAGAAGTTCAGTTCTGAAATAAGACACAAGTTCCTACTTTGGAAGGTAATTAAGCATTATGTCAACAGCAAACTTATCATTTCTCAGACATTTTAGAATGAAGTTAGATATCTTTTTCAGAAAAGATGCATTCCACATCTTATTTATGAGAAATGCTATGGACAGGATAGTTACGGTGGCTGGTTGTGGCAGTCCTATCTGCCCTGGAAACCATGATTCTTTAAGTCTCCTATTTTGAATTTCCTTCATTATCCTCATGTGTTTGCTGCAGTACCTTGCAAACATTGCTATAATTCAAGTATTATGTTGCATTTGTTTAGTTGCAGAGAACATGAAGAAATCTCTTTCCTTTACTGCACACTGGCTAGGTACAGTCGAGGGTTATTTCAATTTATTTTGCCTTCCATAATTCCTGAACCTGAGATTTAAGAACCTTTGTGAAGCATACCAGTCTTTCAGATAATTCCTTCTTTTGGATGTTTGGTCATCTGTCCTTGATCTCAAGCTTGCAATCACCAAGTCTGCATTCAGAGAAAAAAAATCCCTAAAGTAATTTTTCCATGAATCTTGGAAATTTTCATCATTCTGTGTGTTGTTCTTGGATCAGCTGCCAACCTGATCGGTGCCTTGCTATTAGTGGTGCCTCCAGTACTCACAGGATCTTGGTCTCAGCCTTTCCTGTTCATTGCTTGTGGCCTTCTATTTAGCCCTGAAATGCTTTTGTTCTATAATCTGTGGGCATAATGTGAACATGTATCAAGGAAAATGAAAAACAAAAGTATACCTACATCTAAACTTCCTCGTCTTTTGGCTTTGCCTTAAATAAGAAATGACCTTTGCAATGTTTTGGATTAATTTAATAGGGTAAATTATCAGAAAAATACATTGATGCATGATGCCTGTAAAATTGGAGTGACCTGCTAACATCTAAAAATGGCCAGCGGCTGTTTGATTTATAACTTAATTTTTTCCATATTTAAACATGGAGTTCAGTCACTGCAACATTTAGCATCTGCTTGTTAGAAGCTTGTGTAAGATGCTGTGTAATAGGTTGTATAGCTCAATAAGATTTGATGCAAAGTGAATTTTTTGTAGTGTTTATATTTGCAGGATGTGGGTTGTAACACATTAGCTGACACTAACACTGTTGCCATACTAGGATTTGTACTACATTTACAGCTATCTAAATTATTTTCTGTCCTCAGTCTAGATCAGTGTGCTGCATGGCTCCTTGGTGGTTCTTAAGACATCAGATGTGAGCCTGAATAACACCCATAAACTTGCATGATGAAGCATAAACACACGCACTTCCTACAGCAGGTGTTGTCAGGAGACACTTCCTTTAAGTTCTCAGTGTTTACTAAAATGTTTATAAAAGAGTGAAATGACGATTTTTGTAAATCAGAAGGAAACAAGCCATTTACTTCAATACTGAATTGTTTGTTCATTATCTCCTTTCCCAGGTACCAAAGAAGTGTGGAATACAGATGACATACATCCCACTCCAATCAAACAGAAGGTACACAAGCCTTCAATAACGAGTTCAGAGACAGATGCAGCACATTTTATCCATGCCCACCTTGAACAGATGTCACTGTCCTGCATCAAAACAATAAACTCAGAAACAAATGACAATGACTTGATCAGCTGGAAGATCCTCCTATTGTTTTTTCCCATCTCAATCAGAAGCTTGCAAAACAAGGCCTAAACCCTACAAATGAACATTGAGGCATTTCCCCTTTTTTCAGACTTAACACGCAGGCTCTGCAGCATGGCGTCTCTCAACAACTCTCCTCCAGGTCAGCTTAACTCATACTACGTCCACCTTGAATTCAGCATTACACGTGAGCTGATTTATGCAACAGCAGTTCGAACAATCTATCCAGGTCAGACAGAGTCAAAAGATCAGCGGCTGTGATCCAAAGATGCCTCCAGATTTTTTTTTTCCAGGTTATACTACACGCCTCCAAAAGTGTCTTATTTTACTCATCAACCCGGATCTGCAAGAAACTTGTATTTCCTAAACTTCTCTGCCACTCACCATGATTTATTTCAAGCAAAGAAACAGCACAAGCATCACTTAACCTGTGGATGAGTCATCCAAACAGAACAGACGAAACACAAAGGCAGGCAGTTAACTGAACTGTCTTTTATGAACCTATGTATGATGTATATATATCATATGACATTTCATCTAAAGCTGTCCCAACGTGTCTCCAAGATCCTTCAGTATCATTAAGGGTGGATTTCAAAATCTTTCATTTTAATCTATTAAAAGTGAATGCTAATATAATATTCTGATGTCTGATAATAACTACTCTTGACAACATTTCTTTTCATATTAAAGTGTGACTGCATGAGAAGTTTGGGTGAGAGCAAACTAAGAATATGACTGCATTGTAATATGAAAAGATATATAACTGGGAGCTGTTTTTAATATATATTCAGAACTGCATCACATTCTTTATTGAAATTATTATTATAAATAAAACATACAGGCAACACTATGGCATGGCCAGTTAGAATCTCCCTTAGAATAACCCTTTTCATGCCAAGTTATAATGTTCATCGACCAGCATGCACAAAATATCCAGGTGCTCTTATTATATGCAATTTACTTATATACATTAGGAACATAATTCCATAAACTCTGGCTGACTGTTACTGATGCAAGAGCTATGGCAGAGTTCAGCAAATGTCCAGAGTGGTAAGGCTGTTTTATCAGGCATGAATTTACCAAGGGATCCAAAGCTGGCTCCCATTGGCATGGCATCACATCAGAGTCACACAATGTAGTCACGGACAGGAAGCCTGTTTTCAGCTTCCCAATTAGGCTGCAGCCAACTCTGCCAGCATTTACAATGTTATGAAGTAGTAAAGCTTGCAAGAACAGTAATTTTTTTATTCTTTATGTGCTTCTTTAAGTGAAAAACACTTGTTGTGGACTATGTCACAAAGACACTATAATCAGGTTGCACAAAAGCGAATAAAGAACAAAATTTCTCATGGTGACATCAACTTAAAGAATCTT